GATAGATTATCTTAATAAAATTTTGAGTAATTTTAATTTGAAAAAATGTCCAAAATTGTCCAAAATTGTCCCATGTATAACACTGGCTAGTAGTGTACCTCTGTTTTTTACTAAATGCTATTGTATTTTTAACAAAAAATGTATTTAGATTTTTGGTACAGATGATCGTTATAAGCACTGATTTAAGAAGAGAATGAATGCTAAACAAAGTAAATCTTAGCTGTTACGAAAATAAAAAAGAGAATTTTCTTAAATATTAGATTTGAGAATATATCGAAAAAATGGCAAAGAAGAGCAAGAAAAAAATAATTCCAAAGTTAGAAGAATAGAAGTTTGGAAACTGCTTGGAGACCAATTTATGGACTTATTTATTATGGTGAAGGCTAGAACTACAAATCAAATTCCAAACAATATCAGTATAGACAGGAGAATTGATACTACTATACAAAAACTGCTAGAGTTATCTGAATTGTTAGAACAATTAAAGGATGCTTCTTATGAGTACCATGAAAATTTAGATGAGAGATTGTTATATCCAGAAGATAAGAAGTACTTTTGTGAAACTTTTGATATAACTGGTGTTTGCCTGGTGTTTGTAAACTATTCTGGGATGGTTGTTATGATGTTGGATTCTCGTAATATTATGTTCAAGTAAAATGAAATAGAACATAACATGTATTATATAAGAAAAAATTTAAAAAAAGTCTTGCGAACCACCTCTACTATTCAGAGAATATATGTGCTATTGTAGAGAGCACTGGCAAACTGATACCCATAAAGGAACTTGAAGCTCATATAGAGAAACAAGATTTAGCTAAGCCAATAAAAGTAATAAGATACAAGAAAAAAAGTAAAAAAAAAAGTAAAAATAAATAGTCACATCTTTATATTTGAAATTTTCTTGATTTTTCTGATATTGCTGGCATTTTCTTTTAAATGAAAAAATATATATACTGTATGTCACTTTATGATTTCTCTGGGTTTTAAATTAATATATATTGATTTAAAATTTATATAAGCTGGTGCAAAAAAATAGATACCTCAAATAAGTATTAATAATAAATTTTTTTATTAATAAAGTTTAAATTTTTTTAATTTAAAATTATTTTTTAGAAGATAGAAAAGAGTTTAATATAGTTTATTTAATTCTTTTGTATAAAAACTAAAACATCAATTAGTAAAAACTTTTTAAGTAAATTTTAGCCTAATTAAAAATAAAAAATTTTATAGTAAGCAATTAATAAAAAA